TACAGTATATATATATATTAGTTGCTTATTAGTGCTCCACACTCCAGTCCAGTTGGTGGCGGTAAATGCACCAGAAGTTGGTTTGCCATCCGCCATAAAACGTTATTAGAAGAAGATGAAGATGCATCACGCGCCGGCTGTTTCGAGAATGCGCTCAGGACAGTTAAGACAGTGCAGTGCTTCAGAGGTAAAAAACGATATAAATACTGTTCAGTTTCTTGCACAGACCGATCATTTCGTGTCTTTACACATCAATGTATCATCACGAGCCGCAGGGTTTAATTTGGTTTTGTTTGTGTATGTTTTTTTCTCTCTCTTTTTTTAATTTGGTTTTGTTTGAGTATGTTTTTTTCTCTCTCTTTTTTTACTCTCAAAGCGGTGATTCCCATTCACTTCCATTATAAGACTGACAGACTGCAACGGTTTGAGTTAAACAACTTTGTTTGTGTTCTACTGAAGAAACAAAGTCACCTAAATCTTGGATGTCCTGGGGGTAAGCAGATACACATCAAATTTTCATTTTTGGGTGAACTATACCTTTAATGTGGCATAAATCGTAAAATGTAGCGCTTCAGTTAAAGCCAGAGCCACTGAAAAACAATTGCGACAAGCTTTGGGGCCCATTCTTCGTACGTCGCTAACTCAGTTAGCTGGATTTGATTGTTGACGATTTGGCATGATCTTGGATTGTTTGGTTCTTCGAAGCTCATCCTGGAGTTGCTGCCATAGCAACAGGTCCGTAAACTTAAACCTGCTTGCAGGCTTATTTCATGTAAACAGGATTAGATTGCATATGTTTTAAGCAGAATTGATTCTTAAAATCTGTCCGCTACCACCACTACTTTATTACAAGAGTATCCTACTGATCCAGGGACAATAATTTAAAATAATAATTAAAAAATTAATTTAAAGATAATATAATGATGTTGTGTAGTCTTTAATACTACAGACACAGCCATGTCTGTAGTTGTATTGTATTGTAGTTATTTTTGTATTCGAGTCTTACACACATGATATACAGATAATATAGAGTCGTGCATTAATTTGAGTAATGACAGCTATTATGGGAGTGGGTTGATGGAGTGCAGGAGATGCAGATAACATGATCTTGAACCTTAAGAAACTGAAAGTTCATAGACCGGATTCATGACAGTGTCATAATAACGTCAGTAATTATGACTGTCGAATGTCTGACTTGATTTTTGGTAATGTATTTTGCCCCGCCCCCAAAACATAGGATTTGACTATCAGTCGACTGTTGGCATGATTCAAAAATTCCAATTCGACTATGAAAATTCCAATTCGACTATGTAAATCCTTAGTCGGGGACACCCCTAAATAATATTGTCTCTCTGTTCTTGTCAGTAAAAGATCAGGATCATGTGTATCCAG